CAGCGTTAACGAGCGCGGCAAGCCGTTCCCCCCCCGTCTTCCCCTCCCCAAAATGCCGCCGCCGCCGCCTCTCCCAGGAGGGGAGCCCAGCCCTGTCATGTGCGTCGCGGCTTCTCGGGCGGCTGCGCTGGCCTCTGCTTCGAACTTCTTACTGAGCTAAATGAGGAAAACCTATCCCTTTTCTGTTTATTTTTGTTTTTGTTTCAGAAAAGGGGGAGAGAGAAAGAGAAAGGCTCGTGCTGAAGGCAACCAGCTGCATCTTTGAGTGGGAAACCCTGGACTGATCTCATGGCTTGCTTTTTTTATTTTTTATTTTTTTAATTCGTTAATGCCTCGATATCCTTGGAAAAAAAATGAACCTTTTTGGTGAAGCTCTGTTGCTAACTCTCCTTACTCCTCTTTCATGTGGTGACCGCTTTGCGAGGGAAGAAATGGCATGAAGTAAATGACTCCACTCCAAAGCAATCTGTTTTGCCAAAGTGCCCAGTGAGCAGCACTGTCACTTTAATAATTCCAGGTCAAGGGATTGCTTTCCTCCTTTCCAATCCTCTCTTTTAATACATGGGAGGATCAGAGGGACATTAAAGACCATAAGGCTGGGTGGCTTGGATATAATAAAAATGAAAGTGACTGGCCAGTGACTCCTGTTGTTGGGGAAGAGGGTGATATTTGAAGGCTGTTGTCTGGTGAGGAAAAAAAAGGGGACTTTTTCAGTCTGCTGAGTAGTCACCTAATGCATAGCTAGCAGAATTCGTTCAAGAAGTGAAAGAAGTTTAAAGAGTCACTTTGGATTGTTTTTGTCTTCCTCCTTGTTTGGATTATTTGGGAGTTTTTGTCCTGCAAATAATATGCTTTTGAGCAAGTATTAAGAGAGCTGCCTAGAGATGGACTGTGCCTTAATTGTTTTACATAAAATATTTTAATTTTCAAATTTTACTGCCAGAAGAGGAGTTATAATAGGGTTTTATACTGCTAAGGGACATTTCTCTTGTATTTTTATACATTCAAATATATTTTAAAGAAATTGAAAATCTCTCTTAAAAAATTTCAAAAAGCTGCTGTTCCCCCCCCCCCCCCCCTCTCTCCTGGGAAGCTCCATGCAGGAAAACAGCAAGTACTGGTAGAAATGAAGATTGAAGCTGCATTTCGTAACTGAACTGTAAAAGTGTTTTGCAATAGCTAGTCCTCGCAAAGTGTTCCAGTGGTACATCGTTAATACCTGTAATTAAGTGCTTGCAAGCAGTAACAGAAGTAGGAAGAAGAATGCCAGTCAAGAAGAAAGGTGGGCTATGAAGCTTCATATCTCATTTTGCATCTACGTTTTGTTAATTTGTAGATTTCTCATACTTGCAATTTGAAATTAAAAGTGTTTGATTGGGGGATTGAAATTGTTTTTCTTTTGCGTTGGAAATGGGAGAAAATCTGTGCACTTATCTATTTAAAAAGCATGTTTTTGTCATGTTTTAAGACATGTCATGTCAAATTTGGCCTTAAATACACCTTTTATAAAATATCAGCCATAAGAGATCTCAAACAGACACCAAGAGAAAATCTTGGCATTTAATATTTTGAAAAATCTCTTACAAACACTAATGAACTTTAAAAATGTGGTTTTAGGCTATTGTCTATTCTTTACATGTTTGGCGGATAAACATTAGCCATCAATAGCATAAATAAATAACAAAACAAAGTTTTGTGACTAATCTTAAATAAAAATGTGAAGAGTTGTATTTTCCAATGCGAAGGTGATTAGAATGTGCTTTAAAATGTGTTTTTTACTAACTCACTTTTGTATTGAATCAAGGTATAGAATTCTAATATATTTATGCCTGTAGTATGGCAGCATTTGAACAATGACAACCAGCTGTGTCTTTTATCTCTTCTGTCCTCAAATCAGTGATTGCAGCTTTGGAAAATGTGGTTTCCAGTGTTCAGACAAGAATGGGGGAACGTACAAGGGTAGAAAACACTTGTAGACCTTTGGTTATTTCGAGTTCCCTGCAAACATGACACTAGTTTAGCATGTTATTTATTTAAGATTTCAGAATATACTAATGGAAAAAATTGCAAATAATCTTTGCTCAGCTCATCTATCCAGAACTTGAAGCCCTCTGATCTGTTAATGGCAAAACATGGGGGAAAGAGCAAAAAGTGAATGTTGCCCAACAGATGTGGGGTTAGATTTCGAGTCCTTGTAGGAGTTCCATGTAGGAATATCTCTTCATTATTAGTTATGAGTTAAAATTTACTGTGTAAGTAACAGTAAAAACACACATATTGCTAGAATTATTTTCAGACTAGATAGAGTGAATGGGATCTTGTGATTTTATTTTTACAGATGACAGTGTAAAAACAAATCTTCAAAACTATGAAGTGGTTTAATAAATCATATTGTCATTGATACAATTGTTTCTAATTATGTGGAGTAAAGACAAGAGCGTGTATGGAGATGTATCATCCCTGATTAATATCCTTATAATTCGTCCTGTTCTGCTGTAAACGTCACCATCATCTGCTGTGAGACTTACTTATACATTACAGCATGAAATTTTAAACAGTGTCTCTTTAGATTTTAAGTCTTGACTCTGAATTGTGTGATTTTCAGTAAGGATATTTCTGAGCCAGATGCTTAGCTATAGTTCAGTTGCAAAATAGTTGCTGCAGGAATTTTGGGGTGAAATTTTACAGGCTCCTTCATTCAGGAAGTTACTTTGGCAATCAGAGCGGTCCCTTCTGGCCTTACAAATCTGTGTGTTTCCTGTTTGTTTCAAGCCAATCTGATTCAGTTTGAACACAGGTCTTAGATTTTAATTTCTACTTCTGTCTTGAAAGGAAATGTATTTGCCAATTTTAAATCACAACATCAATAGAGACCCAAATGCCCTCCTTGAAATACTTCAACGTATCTCATTGTCAGCGCGTTACAGTTGCCAGCGTGCATGTGTTTAAGTATTAAAAAGATATTGTTAGAATGTATTTAGACATGCAAATTAAAGGATTAAAAATGCTAGCAAATCAGCAACTGTATTATTAGCTTGAATTACTTAATTTGTCCCATGCATTATAATTAAACTTTGTAATCAAAGGCGTGCTGGCTACTTGAAAAACACTTGCATCTGGAAAAAAAAATGCTATTGTTATAAATAATCCCTAATATTGCATTAGCAGAGGAGATTGAAGGGATGTTTCCCTAGGCTTTCCCCCCATTTGTTTGCTTTATGCTTTTGACAGCACTTTGTACCTAGTTTCATATTTTTTGTTGACAAATTATTTTCCCTTTCTAGTGTTCTGTGTCTGGAAGTTCATATATTCTCTCTTCCCAGTCCCTGTAATCTCTAAAAATCCCATTGGGATACTCTCTTCTAGGCTATTCAAAAATATGTATTTCAATAAGAACAGTAAGAACAAGATTATCCCTCTTCTTTTCAGCACTTCTCTGTCTGCTGTTATTTTGGTTTTCATCAAATTACTCTCCTAAAACCAGTACCAAGACAGGTAAAAATGAGCCTGTAAGAATGAGCTTTGAAAGATCCTGGTATTTGTCATAGAAAGCTGTTGTCCCCAATCCGCGTTCTTTGGAGTTGACCAGTTATTGCTCTTTTTGAAGAACAGTGAATGTGTTTTCAGAATTTGCCTTGGAATTAGCTCTCCGCTTAGAGTCGTGGAAAGAGAGACTTGATACTTGTTCTGACCATGTTGGTGTCAGCGTGTGACTGTTTCTGTCTGATGTGCTGGAGTGAAATTAGTTTGTTGCCTCTGTTTCTGGAGGGAAATAAGGCTCTGTATTCCTAAGGATATTCCCAGGGTTGCTTACTGGCAATTGCAACAACAAAAAACCAAGGCTGGAAAGGGAGGATGGAGCACCCCACAGGAGTGGAATGTGCTTCCTTTAGATAAGGGATGAGACATTGTATGGGTATTTGCACTGCTGTTACGTGATTAAACAAATGACACTTTGCCTTTTCGTTTTCCATCTTTCATTTGTTTTAAAATGAAAACTTAAAATCTTAAACTATAAACTTGTTTTCAGTAGCAAAATAATTTGTTGGTCATCGTGCCATGTGGAGACAATATGGGATGAAGAAATTCAAGAAGTAGATGCTTTATTTTCTCTTAATTTGTACTGTACTTTCACAAAAAGAAGCTAGGATTTGTTTCAGCACAGCAATTAATACTAAATTTATGGAGCTTCTTGAAGAAAGCCTCACTGTAAAATAGCACTGCCACATGGAAGAGTATTAGGAAGTAAAGTCATATTTTTGTATGTTTTTAGGTTTTTTTTTTTTCTCCCTTCCTCCTCAAACTACTTATCCAGTTGATTTCTGTTCAGTGTAAGAGACTATATTTAGATTTGCAAGTGCATATATTTTGTATTCATTTACAAAATATGGAAGAGCCTAAAATACTGCTCTTCATTGTTACTCATGTTTCTCCCTCTGAGAAAGAGACAGATGCAACCTGTGGGTGCCATTAATAGCATCTTTGACCCACTATCTCGGAAATAGTTGAGGCTTTGACTCTTGTTTCTGATGAATACCATTCTTTTTCAGCTTACCTCTTAGATAAAGAAATGTTTCAAGGACATGTTTTATAAATGAAGGCAACACCAAATTTTTTTTAAAAAATCTGTTCAAATGGTCTAAAATGACTAGATAAGATTTTTTTAAGGCAAAGTTCATAAAGGGCCAGACAAAGCTAGCGCGTATTAATGCACTGGAGTTCTTCATGGCTTGAACCTCTTTATCCCTAGTAACTTCTTTTTAGATAACAAAATTCAGAGTTAGCTTTTGATGCTCAATTCAAAAGTGGTAGTGAATCTAGTTGTATATGTGATCCTTATAGCCTTTCAAGTAGGAAAACTTCCCTTTTCCTTCTAAAAAAGGCATTTTTATTACAAGTTTTTGCTCCATAGATATTACCAAATAAATACATGGCTAAAAGTCTCATTTTTCACTCCAAGCTCTATTAAAGTGCCTGTCAGTTTTTAAAGTGCAGTGACTAGCATCAGTGCAAAGCTGATGGTGGGTTCACAGGCTTACTGTGAAAAGAACAATTTTAGTTTTATGGGAGTTAAGCAAATTTGTGGCAGAAATTCTCTAAGCTTTCCCAGCTTTTGCTTTAAAGCTGAGACTTAAAGGTGCTCTCATGGCAGTCATCTCTTCCAGTCATGCAGCCTTTCCCCTAGGAGAAACTTGCTGAAACAGTGGGATGTTTTGCACACAAAAGGACTGCAGAAGTGGACACAATACAGAGCTTTGTTACATTCTCTCTGCAAAGAGAAGAGCTCTCTGGGAATACAGAAATTTATGTTTTTTTTTTTCCTAGTCCTACCGTTGTTCTAGTAGTGCCAGATTTCTAATGCAGATCCATCACATTTTATTTGCTTAAGTAGGGAGCCCATCTTGTCATCCTGGGGAGCTCCTGCAAGGAGAGAGATGGAACTTTGGGTGCATTTTAACCCACCTAAGATCTGAACCTTCTTCATAACAATCTACCCTCTTAACGCTGTGGCATTAGCGTAGTGTAGCCGCATTCCTAACTTACCTTCCTCAGTTAGACGGTATAAATTTCAGTGTGTCATAAAAGTTTTAGTGAGAAACTGGCAGCTTTTCATCTGACATCTTTATGAGAGTGAGTTCTATAGATTAAAACTATCCATTAATACCTTGTTGGGGAAAAAGCAATGCAAACTGTTCTGCTAGTCCCTAGAAGTGGACGTGTCTGTAACGCTGAAGCAGAGACAAGGGGCAGCTGTGCATCCTCTCGCCCGTTCCCATTACCTGCATCCCGCTCGCAGCAGCAGTAGCTGGACTTGCTTTATAAGCATTTTTTTCCTCCTGGCCCTCTTGTCTGTTCTTCTGAACCTGTGCCAGATGCAAAGTTTGATGTCAGAGGGTGGACACGGAGAAAAAGCTGAATTTGTAATTAGTGGCCAAATGCGATAGAAGCTGATTTTGTAGACCCTGTTTCAGCAAAATGCGAATCTGCTTTACCCAGATTTTCTTATTTTGGACAGGACTTGATTCTCACAAGTATTTAAACTCTTTTGTTATGGCTTCTTGTTGTATTTACTGTAGTTTAAAACAGTCCCAAACATCATTATAAAAACAAAGATCAAATTTTCTAATGCAATATTCATCTCGGAAATAGCCAGCCTAACTGCCTTGACCTGATTGGGGGTGACAGCACCAACCAACAAACAAAACAACTGAAAAAACAGTTTTACCTGTAACGTCTGTCATTTGGAAGACCTTTCTGTGGCAATAAACCATCTTTGCAAAG